TTACCAACCCCAATACCTTTGGCCTGTACCCCAGCTCTGTATGCATAAGTAAATAAATCTTAATAAAAATAAAATAAAATCTGACACAAGCTATGGGAGGGCTATCGTCTGACAGATTCCGGGTAGCTCGGGAAAAGCTCTGAAAAATCAGACTTTCCACACTAACTTATGCTATGACCTCCCTTTTTTGTATAACCATAATATCAAAATATTCTGAGCAACTTTCAGCTTACAATTGGATTGCCTCAGCTGCATATGGCCTGCCTGCCCTGACAAGCAAGCACTGCACCAGGGTGAGAAATTCCCCTGAAGTCAAGTGACTTGACTACTGACTGATAAATAAAAGCAAAAGAGCTGTTTTTGCAAAGTCTCTCTCGCTGCCTGATGGAGGAAAACCCAAATCTTATCATTCTATCATCCTACCTAGCCTTCTATTCAGCTTCTAAAGAATTACTCAAACTTCCTACTGTCTGGCTTTAGATATGGAAATTCATCCAGTTTGCCTGTTTTAGAGCTAGTCAAGTTTTTTACCTGCTACACTTCAAAGCAATCCACAAAAGTCTTTCTGGCTAGTCTTTCAGGATTCTACTATCTACTCTTTAGATAAGGAAATTCACCTATGTCTCCTATTAAAACCATCAAATAATGGATAAGGTTTAAAGGACTTTATTCTTATCTATCTTTACTATAGTAATATTAGTCTTAAACTTTGAGCACCTATGTACCTGTTCTTTAATCTTGATTTTAGAATGTTATAATCTCAAGTAAAGGTCAAAGGACCCCAGACCATTCTTAGAAAAAAGGTGACTGTGATCTTAACCCCTTTCGTATGCTAATGCCATCCCCCTGCCTGCTGGAAATGTATAAAATAAACCTCTGCTGAAGGCAGAGCAGGAAGACTTGCACCCAACTCCGGCTCCTGTGTCTTCCTCACTCCCACTCCTCTCCCGCTCTTGGAATCTCTGCAAGCCCACGCCTTCCCACCTTAGGGTCCTGCCTTTGCTGCCTCCAGACACCTCAAAAGTTGGAGCTGGTCTCCGACAAAAATCGATGAAAATGAATGAGAAAGGATTGAAATGTGCAATGATTTGAGGAAAGGAAACATTATTAAAAATTCTACACAAGGGCCCTCCCTGGTGATGCAACGGGTTAGGATGCAGCACTGCAAGCTGGCCACAGCCACTTCAGTGCAAGTTCAATCCCTGGCCCCGGAGGTGATCCGCATGGCGTGGCAGACCTCTCCTGACCCGCGTGCAGCTCCCCGCAGCAGTGTTCTTCATCAGTCGTCCTGTACTGCTCCCACTCTGTCTCTGGTGAAACCTTTCACCTCCCATGCACCTCTGGTATGTATCTCAGTTCTGTATGCATAAATAAATAAATCTTTTAAAAAAAAATCCCCACAAAACAAAAAAACCGGACCACATAGTTTCACTAGTAAGTTTTATCAACTTTAAGAAATGAGTAACACCTTTCTTCCTCAAAATGTTCCCCCAAATTGTAAAATTTAAAAACACTCTATAAAACAAGTGCTAATCAATTACCAAAATAAGACAAGATATATAACAATAAAACTAGATCCTCCTTGGCGATGCAGGGGTTAAAGGCACAGCTATCAATCTAACATCAGCCAGTGCAGCAGGAGTTCTATCCACTGCCAGTGAGTTGACCACATGACTCCGCAGACTTATTATGTTTGCCTGCTGCTCCCTTCAGCAGTGTATTTCAGTAAAACTTCCTATTCTGCTCCCCACTCTGTCTCCATGATTTCTCTCACACTGCCCCCACACTTCTGGCCTATACCCACTTCTTGTATGCATAAATAAGCAAATCTTTAAAAAAAAATAAAACTGCAGAATAATTTACCCATTAAACACAAATGCCAAACCCCTTACCAAAATTTTAGCAAAATGAATTCAACAAGGCACTAAAAAGATCATACTTCATAAACAAGTGATATTTATTCATGGTTTAACAACTGAAAATTGATCAGTGTAATTTATCACATCAAAAAACAAAAGGAAAGATAAAAGCCATATGATCATTTTAATAGACACAGAAAAAGTATTTGATTAGATCCAATAAATATTGTAATGAAAGATGTTGGGGATGATAGAACATAACATAATTATGGACATAAGTATCGTAATCTTAAAACAAACATCATTCTCCATGGTGAAAAGCTTAAGAAATTTCCACAGCAGTAACCCTTACTTTTCAATATTGCTAAGAAATCCAGCAAAAGCAATTAAGCAAAAGGAAGATGTAAATGGAAACCAAATTAAAAGAAGATTTAAAATCATCGTGATGTGTGGGTGACATGTTGTATGCAAAAGAAAAAAATTCTAACTACACCAAAAAAATAATTGTGAAAATGAATCTGAAGAGAAATAATGGATAATTACAAAATCAATTAACAAAATCAGTTGTGTTCCCCTATGCTAATTGTGAGTTTGAAGAAAAGAAATCAACAAAACATTCCCTTAACTCATTAAAATAGTAAATAACAAAAATATATGTTAGAAAGGTGAATAACCTATTCAATGAAAAGTATAAGATATTGTGAAAGAAATAGAAGCATAAATAAATAGAAAGTTATTCCATATTCATGGATTGGAAGAATTACCATTCTGACAGAGGCACATTTGGGTCCTCCCTGGTTGCCCAATGGTTAGGGTGCAGCGCTGCAATCTAGTGCAACCCCATCAGTGCCAGTTTGATCCCTGGTCTCGAAGCTGTCCCACATGGCTTGGCAGACCTCTCCTGACCCTCCCGCTGCTCCCCTCAGCAGTGTACTTCATTGATCTGCCTGTTCTGCTCCCCACTCTGTCTCTGGCGAATCCTCTCACTGCCCTTGAACCTCTAGCTGCACCCCAGTTCTGTATGCATAGATAAATAAATCTTTTTAAAAAATGTCACATTTGAAAAAAGTACCTACACACAGATTTAATGCAACTCTCAGCTGACTTTCGATTGCATTTTTCAAAATAATAGTACAATATTATTGAGATTCATATGGAACCACAAATGACTTTGAATAGTGAAAACAATTCTGATGAAAAACAAGAGTTGTTTCACAGTCCCACATTTTAAATGTACTGAAAAACTACAGTAATGAAAGCTGTGGTTCTAGAATAAAAGTGGATACATAGCAATTAATACATACACATCAGTCAAGAGATAAATCAAGCTTATATGCACAGTTTAAATTATGACAAAGGCATCAATAGTATACACTAAAGGAAAGTCTCTTTGAAAATAATACCAGGAAAACTATAGCCACATACAAAATTGTGAAAGTAGGCCACTCTCTCACACTGTACACAAATTTAAATAAAATGGATTATATTTGTAGGCCCTCCCTGGTGGCACAGGGGTTAATGGACAGCACTATGAAGTTATCTGCAGCCACTGCAGCACGAGTTCGATCCCCAGGCAGGGAGGTGACCCACATAGGGTGGCAGACCTCTCCAGACTGGCCCTCTGCTCCCCTCAGCAGTGTATTTTAGTACATCTGTCTGTTCTGCTCCCCACTCTATTTCTGGTGAATCCTCCCATCCCAGCACCTCTGGTCTATACCCCAGTTCCATATGCATAAATAAGTAAATCTTAAAAAAAAAAATGGATTAGATTTGTCTTAAATCCTGAGAACATAAATTACATAATAGAAAACCCAGACAAAACACTTTGTCACTGGCTTCAGTCATGTCTTTGTGTATTCATCTCTAACAGTAAAAGGAATAAAAAGAGCATGCAAACATAAGTGGGATTACTCTAGTGATAAAACATCTGCACATCAAAGGAAACTACCATCCACACACACAAAAATACTGAATGGGAGATTTCACACTATATATCTGGCAAAGAGCTCATATCACAGATCTTAAACTAATGCATATAACCAAACAAAAGAAGTAAAAAAATAAAGAAAAGCTAGAATGACACTGTCCAAAGAAGACATATGGCTGGAGTCATCATGCATATTAAAATAATTCCTAGATTACTTATAAACAGAAAAATTCAAATCAAAGTCACAATGTGATACCATCTCATTCCTGTGAGAACTAACCATATCAAAAAGACCAGAAACAACAACTGATGATGATGTTGTGAGGAATGAATCCTTGTGCACTGTTTTTGGGAATGTAGACTCTTCAGTATTTATGAAAACAGTATTTCAGTTTCTCAAAATATTAAACGTTTTATGATATGTTCCAGCATTTACAGACCTAAGTATCTACCCAAATAATAAAAAAGACATTAATTGGAAGGGGTGCATGCATTTCTATTTTCATTGCAGCACACTATACAATAAATTATAAAATAAACATGTGCCCAATGACAGATGGGTAGATTATGAAGGTGTAGCATATAACTACATCCATATCCATATCCATCTATATCATCTATATCTATAACTTTTCACAATGGAAACTAACCAGCTATATAAAGGCAAGATGAATTCTTACTTTATCACAACCTGGGTGGAACTGAAACTGATAAAAGCTAGCTGAAATAAGTCAGAATGAAAACAACAAATATCAGATGTTTCAAGTATACATGAGTCATAGAGAAAAACTAATAAAAATCCTAGAAATATGTAAAATATTGGATGCAAATTGGATCCAAAAGCCAACTGTGTTGTTATAACATATATGTAAATAGGTTTTGACACATATGATGTTGGAAACTGTTGTAACCTCACTAAAAATAACAACAATGAAGGTATATATGAGTAGACTTAATGCCAATTTGTATGAATATGACAGTAATAGTAATATATGTACATATATATGCAATATATAATATTTCATACAATAACATGGTTCCTTTAGCATTGATTATGATTTTGTTTAGCATTAAATGACTATATTTAGAATAATTTCACTTTCTGAATATAGCTGGTAGAAAATGTTAAACTACATAGTTTACCAACATTACATTTCTATCAATGATGTTCTAATTAACACAAAAAGGAGAAAAAATGTTGAGAGTAGCTGTGATTATTTCTTCTTTGAGAAAAATATTGGAAATGCTCTTGCCATGGCTCCCAGGACTTCCTTATTCCTCAGGCTATAGATAATAGGATTGAGCATGGGGGTCAGAATGGTGTAGAAAACTGCCAGATTCTTATCTTCTTCTGGGTTGCGGAGATTTTTAGGTCTGAGATAGGTATAGACAAAAGGTGCATAGTAAAATGTCACCACAGTTAAATGTGTGAGACAGGTGGTGAAGCCCTTCTTTCTTCCCTCTTTGGAGCGCATGTGGTAGACAACAAAAAGGACTCGACCATAAGAAGCTGTGATTCCAAGGAAAGGAACGAGAAGAAATAGACTTGAGCTTACAAAAACCATGTACTCATAGACCCAATTGTTCAAGCAAGCCAGAGTAACCAAGGCTGGGATATCACAGAAAAAGTGATCAATGGCCCTGGACCGGCAGTATGGAATATGGAGAGCATAGACTGTGTGTGCTAAGGAATTGACAGCCCCCAAGAGCCAAGATACTAGGATCATCATTGCACACATCCTTTTACTCATGCGAATGGGATAATGGAGGGGTTGGCAGATGGCCGTGTATCGGTCATAGGCCATAGAAGACAAGAGCAAACCCTCAGAACCTGCCATAGTTGAAAAGAAGAAACACTGGACCCCACATCCCAGGAAAGAGATGCCTTTTTGACCTGAGAAGAAGTTGAATGCCATCTTGGGGATAGTGGTGCACAGGTAAATCAGGTCCATGAGGGAGAGCTGGCTGAGGAGAATGTACATCGGTGTGTGGAGCCGGGGATCCACGCGGATGAGGTGAATCATGGTTAAGTTGCCCAGTGAGGCAAGACAGAATATGAAGATGATCAGGAGTATGAGAAACAAGCCTGTTTGATTCGGGGAAAGCAATCCCAACAAAATGAAATCATGGAAAGTTTGATTCCATTTCTCCATGAAAATTCACTGCCAGCTAGCTTCCTTGAAAAGCAAACAAACAACAACATCAAAAGAAATCTGGGACAGGAAATGCAACAAAGCAATTTTCATAAAAAGGAGTTCTGACTTTATTAATGTTAGGTGTATGAATTGCTTTTTGTTGCCTGTAGCAGCTCTTAGTGAGTCCTAGTCATTTGCTAGCTAAATGCTTTTCTTCCAGTTTCTCTGGTAGCAGCTTGGAAATTGAATTTGTATTAGAAAGCCTAGTACCACAGCCAGCACAGGTAACAATATCACTAAAACATTCCTCTCTAGATAATTCATACCCAAGAATGTAGCTCATAATTTAAGTCAAAGAAATATTGCTTTCTTATATGGACATGAGTTTAACTCAGCATATGAAAGAACAACTGGCAAGCATAACACCAAATCTTTTTGTATAAATTCTAAGTCCTGTATTTACTTACCCAGCCCTTTTTTCAATGGCTATTTCAGTTAAGCTGTCTCCTCAACTGACCTTATTTCAGAGAAATAAGCAACATCATACATCTCATAGTTTCACCACATAATTGCCTTTTCCAGAAATGTATCTACTACCCATAAATCACTGTTCTACACTACAAAGTCATCACATGTTCTTTAAAAGCCTGCCTAATTATAAAATATTATGTGAAGATGCCCTATTCCACTATGTTCTTTCCATTTTCTGATGACCTACAGAGACCAGAATCAAATGCACAGATGGCCAGTGACTTGTTCTTTTCTCATGTAAGTTAATTGCGCATGATGTAGGAATTGGTTTGAATATTTATCCAATATGAAAATTACTTGATGCTGAAGTTACATGAATCACCCTATTCTTTCTCATCTTAAATACATTCTGAACACATTTTATGTTGATGATTCTTGTGAGAATTCAGTTCTATAAATGCACAATTCTTGTCATGACTCCTGGCTGAGATAGCAGGTTATCTAGAATTCACTATTCTCACCTATCCTGACCTTTGCCATGGTTCTGATACAAGAGCATCTGTGCACTGTTTGCATATATCATGTTTCTTCAATCTGTCTCCCTCACCTCTCTGTTGGTTCTTTTTTTGGCTAGGAATTGGTTTGAAAACAGAAAATGTTAAGATCAGTGCAAATGAGGCCATAATTTCCCTAATTCAAAAGGAAAACAATTCATGATGAAATGTTATTCTTCCAGTACATCACACAGTGATTATAATAACATTGTATTAACATTTTATTTGCCTGAAGAAATGAGCAAAGTTTGCTTTATAACAAATGCAATATGATAATTTATTTGAAAACAAAACCAGTTCATTTCGAGAATCAGTTTTTAGAAAATATATATGGCCTAGTTATTTATTTTTCTCATGTTTGGTTTAATCTGAGTATAAAATAAAATAAAGGGGGGGCAACAGAAATTACAATACCTGTTGGGAACTGATTTTCCAATAGCAAGCAGTGAACAACTAGTACTAACTCTCAGTTATGTATGCCTAGTTTACAAGAGGCACATTTGTACACTCTGCTGAATTCATTTTTATATAGATTATTGATCAGTGTATCACAATCATTGATGATAATTACAATGGTAATTTTTGATTATCAAATTGAAAAATACCTTATTGCTAGGGACTAGAGTAGGCTTCTGGTAAAATCTCTAAAACTTAGTTTTAAAGCATGGTCTAAAAGGAGCTAGATCTCAGGATTTTTTCAATTGCTGGTCTTTGAATATTTATCCAATATGAAAATTGCTTGATGCTGAAGTTACATGAATCACCCTATTCTTTCTCATCTTAAATACAGAATATTTTTCCTGTGACTACAAATTTTATACACATTCATGTCTTATTTGATCCTATTATGAAGCATATTCTAACATTTACAACATTAAAAGCAAATTACAGGACCTATATTTATATAGTATTTTATGCAATTTAACATGTTCAGTGTCCAAATTTATTTTGCAAAATGTACAATATAAAATGAATTTTACATAGTCTTAAAAATAATCAGTCCCAAGACCAGTAAAGTATTGTTTCTCTGAACCTCAGCAAATTTCTGGGATGGCTGTGAAGATAGAATTTAGTTTTTCATGTTCAGCACATCACAGGTTTTCAGTAGGCATCAAAATCCTTTTTTTCATTCTACCTAAAGCATTGAAATTCTCAGATATAGAGAAGTTTAGTGTCTTATTTAAGATCACACACAAATCTAGGTCTGCCCTTGAAACACCTCTGACAGGCACCTATAAACCCTTTCTCTCTTTATATTTTTGACATTTCCAATTCACCTTTGGCTTTTCCAGCCAAAAAGGTGGAAGAGCAGAAAATATTCTCCTAAGATCTGGAAACATAGTTGCCAAGGTCTCTACATGAGTTAGCTCTAACACAAATCAACTTGATTCACTGATATTGTAATCACTTACCTTGTCTGCTTGAATTTTTTAAAATGAAGAAGGTTTACAGTGACATGATTTATGCCTCAGATCTTTAGGCATAAGTCCTGACCAACATCATCCTGCAATATTTGCTACAAGAACCTGTCACTGAACGATTGATTCTCTCAAATCACAATTCTCTTTCTGATATGAGAAACTCTTCTTTATCTTCTAAAATGTATGGGAGAGGAGTACTTAAGTATATTTTATATCTTCTATTCCTCACTGCCTTTTCTGCTTCTATAACATAAAATACAGGGCACACTAAGGTCTCAGTATTAGGATATGTTGGAATTTCTAGTACATAACTTCCTTATCTCCATATATATTTTACTTGCTAAAACAACTTCCTTATTGCTTTGTTCCAGCTCTAAATATTTTGAGTCCAATTCTCTCAATTTGTTGGATCTCAGAAAAATGAGTTACTTCATTTTATTTATATAAATGTACACAATCAAGCCTTACAATGTCCTCTTTCTCTTATAATTAATTGATCCCTAATGTTCAAGTCCATGGGGGCCAAACCTTGGTCATTACACTTGACTGCTTATTTGGAGATCTGGTGGATGTGTGCTTAATTATGAGTAAGCAATCAAATCAGTCAATGCTGTTGATTTCTGGTGAAAGAATGTACTGAATTGTTTGAGAACATGATTTAATCACTGTAAAGACAGATAATGTTTGTTGAAGTCTTCTCATTTCATAAGTTAGAAAACTAAAGTGTTCTTACTACTTCTAGAGCTTAGCTACATAATAGAAGAATTAGTATCAGGGACATTGTTCTGCACATTGTCTATAAATTTGCAAAGAAAATTGTTGGTGATTGTGAATAAATTTTGCTATCTTGGTACCCTTCTAATTTTAGAGTATGATACAATAGATCTATGGAAATATTAATCTACTAAACTGTAGGAAGGACTACATGAAGCCTGATATGGATTAGTAATAATTGTTGAGGATAATGGCTAAGCAGGGACTTGGAAAAGACACTGATAAAATGGTTACTATCTGGGATAAGCACAGAATATAACATATTTATCCATGTAGCTTAGTGCTTACTCAGAATAACATCACTTGAGAAAGTCCCAATAACATGGTGGAATTGATTACCTGGATGACACCTTAGTTCTTCAGGCTCTTGGTGTTCCTACATGGGAACCTTTACAAAATGGCTATGATGTGTGAATGGAGTCAGTGTGTGTTCTCAGAGAGATGAAGTCAGCAAGGTGGGTTTTGGCAATGCCTAATCTTTCACTACACCAAAGGTAAGCCACTGTATGGCAACATTCACCAAAGAAGTGAGTTGGTCACTTGTGGCAGTCCATTACATGTTACATTGAATTCTTCCATCCAATCAGAGCAGTTTTTTTTCCCCTAAGCATATTAATAATGTCTAAGCTTTAGTACTTGTTAGCCTTTGCACATATCTTTCTTAACATTTGCTCCCTCCAAGAACCTGTACTATGTCATCATTCATGTACTTCACTGCATACAAGATAGGCTCATGTGTAGTACCTTACTCATCGGATACTACTGTGTTTGTTTTCTGACTGTAGATAGGATTTTATGGAAAAGAAAATTAACAACAGATTCACTCCCATGCAGTTTATTAGCTTTAATCACATGTATCACATCTCATGATATCTTTTCTGACTGAATGTAAAGCAAAATTTCATTTGGTTCCATCTGGGGAAGGCACTTAAAAAAAAGATTTTTCTCATAAATGACCAATTTATATTAGTGTCTCCCTAAGTCTGGATTCCAGCAGGAATTTGAAATGATTGTTTTAATAACTATAATGTATTTGTGTGTCTGTGTTTTCATTAGGCCGGTAAGTTGATATGTCATAATGGTCAATGGAGAAATATATAATCAATCACAAAGCTGTATCTAATTAGATTGAATTGAAATTATTTGTTTTTTCCTTCTTTAAGATGTTGAAAACAGGGTCACTAAACTGTACTAAGTAATTAATCTAAATTGCTATGATCAAAGTGTTCTGCATCAATGCCAAGGACATCCAAAGAACACATTTTTTTAGGATTCAATGGAACATTAATTTTTCATGCATCGTGATTATGGTAAAGGCAAAACACTTACATTCTATAACAATAGGAATAATAGAGATACAAATCCAATAAAATTCAAGGTTTGCATTAACCTATAATCTTTCCCAGCAAAATTCATCCCAGTGAGATTATTAGTGGAATTTGGAACATGTGGTTAAAAAAAAAAAGTAGTCATAGTCATAATTAACTACAGAGAAAAGGATATGTAGAATTTATAGTGAAAATTTATGTTGTCAACTCTCATGGGAAGGATTTTGATTTTATGATTTTTTTGTGGGACTATAGTCCTACCAGCAATCAATCCCATTACTTTATATATACACACACACACATAATTTAATTCCTTTAGGAGTTCTTGGATCCATATGTTATTTAGTGGTATGTTGTTTCAATCTTTTTTTTCTCTTATTTTTAGTGTTGTGCAACCTTCTAGGCTGGAGGCTCACTTTTTTTTTTTTTTTTCCTTTAAGCACACAGAAAAAGGAATCTTGGAGCCATAG